TGGAACCGTAGTATCCTCATATTCAAAAGTCTTCTCCTTCTTCACCTTCTTTTTCTTTGGAACAGTAGTGTCCTCATACTCAAACACTCTATTGTCTTTACAGTCATCTTGGTCTTCTGTCTTTTTCCTTTTGGTATACACTTTTTCAGTCTTTTTCGGTTCAGAAACCGAAACTTTCACTTCCATTAAGCTACTTTTCTCTTCTGCAGGAGAAATCTTGGGTGCAGACTCTACTGACCCCTGAAGTGTCTCAAGCTCGGGGAGGTCAGTATAGCCTTTCCAGCGATTAAAAGCCAATAATTTAGCTCTCTGACTTACAAACTGCAGCTCATCAGTAGCATCATAGCTAGGAGAGCATGCTAAACGCTTCACATATTCAACAAGGTTTGCAGGTTCAAAGAAGCTTGCACTTGAGACCTTGTCTCCGCCACGTATACTGCTTGAATCTTCTCGGATTCCAGGATTGATTATGTTCTGAGTCTTGATCTTCTGATAGACTTCCTCTGAGATACAAGAACAAGCTAAACCAAACTCTATCCTTCTTGATACCTCTTCCAAAGCAAAATCAATAGCATCACGAAAATCGGGTAGACTACTCTGCTTTGCCATTTGAGAGAAATGCTGTCGAAAAGGCTTTATCCGTGATGCATCGTTCCAAGCAAAAGTGCAATCTCCGAAATATGTTACTAATACACTTCCTTTTTTGGAGTACTTCTTCGCTTTGTCTGATGCAGCGGAGACATCAAACACCTGTCCAGGCCACCATGGATGGCTCCTAACTTTAGCCCAAACCAAATCTGAGTCAGAGATCTTTACCTTTGGAGTTACAGGTGCATTATCATCATCCAAAATACTCTCATCCTTGCTCTCATGCGGCTCTAAACACACAAAAGATTCAACATCCAAGTTCTCAACTTTGGTTCCTTGCTTTCCTGAGTCATTGGGTTTTCTATCCTCACCAAGGTCGTCACTATCCAGTGCGACATCAGATCCCTTCACATTGTTGAGATTAACGCCATGAGAAGAGACAATCTCAGATTCCACTTCCTTCTCGACCAGAAGCTCCGCTTCGATCCCATCAGAATCTTTTCTATCCTTTACCACCAATACCTCTTCGCTATCTACTGGGACCTTCTTCTCACTTTCTTTAGTCTCAACACCTACATTTTGGGTTCCAATGCCTAGATCTAACCCTCCGTTTACAGATTCCGTTTGCTTCTCCAGATCAGTAAATCCATTTCTTTCCTCCATCCCATGATCACCATCCGAAGCTATGCTTCCGCTTCCAGGTTTAACAGTGACGCATCCTTCTTTCTCATCTTCATCGCGCTTTGATACCAGCTCCTGAGCTTGACCACTCAAAGGGTCAGCTAGGGTTTCAGTCATCTGATCATTTCCGACCTCAAACCCCAACGCAGTAGAGCCATCAACAGCGTCGGAGCCCGAGTCAACACCTTCTGGTTCCGTCGTCATAAGCAGTACCAAGAACAAAACCCTAGAGAACGAAGTAAATAAATCACCAGAAATTACTTCATTTCATTTCCAAACAATACAAGTAACAGTACCTACGGTGATGACAAAAACAAGAGAGAGCGCGTAACAAACCTACGGTGGCGATCGTGAAAGCGGCGCTTTTTCCGGCGGCGGGAGCTCGTTGCTTCAAGTAAACGAAGACGTCAAATCGAACCAGAAACGGGTTTTTCGTTTTGGGGTTTTTTTTTTTCCCTTTTATTTTATGAATTTTACATAAATGAAGCAGAGTCCACGTGGCAGACAGCTAAAGCAATTTTATCCCTTCTTCTTTTGGAAACCCCAGTAGTGGGTTAATGTTCAATCAATTGGCCCACTGACAAAACCCATAAGGAAAAAATAAAGCCTTATTGTACTTTTTTATTCCCGCCAAAAACCCATTGGCTCGGAAGCGAGATTTTTGTTCCTTTCTCTCTGACCGACGCGGTGATGGGTCTGTACGGAGACGGCGATGGTGGAAGCATGGCGTCGAGACGGCATGGATCAATCGGAATTGATTCAATCGACATCGCGAAAATATTAGCTGTGTATTTCAGGGACAACGAGAATTTGGCCACCGACGAGGAGAAGTTGCTGCTCACGGCGGAGCTTATCCGCATCTTCTCCGACTCACCTGGTAGAGACATAGTTTCTCAGGTTAGTGATTGTAGACTTATTTGATTGAGAAAATTGTATCAAATTTCTGGTGAATTTCATGAATCGGAATTGCATAAATCTATATATAGCAGTTTTCCGGTGTAATTAGATTTTGCATCTCTATAGATTTTTGAAGAATCAGGGTTGATGGAGAACGATTAGGTCATTTTGGTGCGTCAATTAGTGTTTCTTAGTATCTAAGTATATGAGAAACAGTTCATAAGTTTCTTTCATGGCATGAGACAATTGACACAAAATGGGAGAGAAACAGGTAAATGAAGAAGGCGGGGGTTCCTTCTCTTTGTCGCTTGATCTCCAACAATTCAAGAAAATTGTCGATATCCCGAACTTTTTCTTCAATCTGGAGGATAATCCCAAAGGAGTTATCCCATGTATGAGTGCTGCAGTTCACAAGGTAGTATAAAGTTGCTTTGTGTTTTGTTTTCTTGATTGGCATGTGATGGAGAATTAATTCATCTTTCACAGGTTCTTTTAGGTCAGTGGGAGACTAATGAGTTTGATAATGTTATGAAGATCAATATTCGTCTGCATAATTATCCCGAATCTTCAATCTCCCTGAAAAACCTGAAAGCAACATATATTGGTAAACCTCTGTCTCATTTGGTGAAATGAATAGTATAAATGAAAAACTTAAGTCAGACATAGCATGAGTGGCCTGTGATGTTGTGCTTTGAAATTGCAGGAAAGCTTGTAACAGTTCATGGGACTGTTGTTAAAGTTAGTACTGTGAAGCCCCTTGTCACACAGATGACATTTGACTGTGCAAAGTGTAAAAATAGCATAACCCAGGAATTTACTGATGGAAAGTTTTCACCTCCACAAAAATGTGGCTCCCATGGATGCAAGTCCAGAATTTTCACTCCAATCCGGTCCTCCGCGCAGACAATAGACTTTCAGAAAATCAGGTGTTCTCCTATTTGCGCCTTATGATTTTGTGTCCTTCATCTTTGTTAGTTATGCACCTTGTCATTGTTAATCAGCTGTCCAAGTGCTTATCAGGGTACAGGAATTGCAAAAGCCTGAAGACCATGAAGAAGGGCGAGTACCCCGAACTGTAGAATGTGAGCTGATGGAAGACCTTGTGGATACATGTATCCCTGGTGATGTGGTCACTGTTACAGGAATTATAGGAGTAATTAATAATTACATGGATATTGGAGGAGGTATTGATTCTATAAATTTTCATCGTTCGCTCCATAGTTTCCGAACATTACCATGCCCAAATGACTGCTATCCGTAACTGTATAATAGCTATAGAATTTGAAAACTGCTCTTGACATCTCTTATATCCATATTTCCCTTATCACAAGATCAGTTGTTTTCTTTACTTATTTGAGTTGTTTGGTTTTTTTTTATAAATACCATGTCACCATACCCTCAAAGAGATTGATATAATATGCTATATGCTAAGCCCTACTAAGTCTTAAGAAACTTTTGAAATGCTAATGTTCCAGGGAAATCGAAGTCCAAGAATCAGGGATTCTACTATTTGTTTATAGAGGCAGTTTCAGTTAAAAATTCCAAGAAACAGTCTGCATTTGAGAACCCAGAAGATTCCAGTATCAATGTTCAGTCTGCAGATGTTGGTGACTTATATTCATTTTCACAGAGAGATCTGGAATTTATTGTGAAGTTCAAAGAAGAATATGGCTCTGATACATTCCGTCGTATACTTCATTCAGTTTGCCCATCTATTTATGGACATGAAATTGTCAAAGGTTGAATTCTTTTGTCTGTAATAAGTTTCCCTCGGATATCATTGGTGAAGGCTTGATAATTACTATTAGAAGCAGTGCATATCATGATACTTCTGTCGTTTGTTTTTTTCTTATCATTTCAACAGCTGGGATAACGCTATCCCTTTTTGGAGGTGTAAGAAAGCATTCGATGGATCGGAACAAAGTTCCCGTCAGAGGAGACATTCATGTCATAATTGTTGGTAAGCCTTCGAACCGAGTTTAATTTAATTGTGTAAACCCAGTCTAGAGAGTACATGAACTGAGGGAAGGTTATTGGAAATTAGTTTGAAACTGATGCACAAAAATTTCGATTTATGACTTACGATGCACTAATAGGTGACCCTGGATTGGGAAAAAGTCAGCTCTTGCAAGCAGCATCTGCCATTTCCCCTCGTGGCATTTATGTATGTGGTAATGCGACGACTAAAGCAGGGCTTACCGTTGCTGTAGTGAAAGATTCCATGACAAATGACTATGCGTTTGAGGCTGGTAGCTCCTTCCCTCTGCTTTATTTAGCCAGTACAAACTTCAGTATATGGCATATGATTCTACTGTTTCAGATATGGTTTTGAGTCATTCTGTTGATGAATAGTTTTACTTAATACTTAGCCTAAACTGGCAGTCGAGTGGCATCAGAGATGCTAAAATTATTTGCCCATTTTGATGCTTGAGGGTGAGGCATCCTTGTATTATTCTGCTGTTTATTGCTAAAATGGGGGCTCAGTTAGCAGCAATCTAAAATCTTTCTAGAAGATAAAGTTAGTACATTCAAGGCTTCAACAGTGTTTGATCAGTATTAGGATAGGGTTTATTGAAGAACTTCACACTAGCGAAAAGTTGTACATGCATAGGAAGTTTTTTTTTGTTACATACATTTAGAAACTCGTTCAACTGATTTGTGCGTAGGAAGAGAAATCTTCATCTTTGTTAACCTAGTTCCCTATGCAGGTGCTATGGTACTTGCAGATGGCGGGTTGTGCTGTATTGACGAGTTCGATAAAATGACCACTGAGCATCAGGTTTTGTCTTATCAGCAATGTCATTACTTCTGATGCTGAAATTGTTTTCTCATTAACTTGCATGACATTGCCATAGGCTTTGCTAGAAGCAATGGAACAACAATGTGTCTCTGTTGCAAAGGCTGGGCTTGTAGCTAGTCTATCGGCTCGGACTTCTGTTATAGCTGCAGCAAATCCTGTTGGTGGCCACTACAAGTAATTTTCTGACTGTGCTATCTCATCATTGTGGAAGTGTTTGAATCATATTTTCAACAGTGCTCAGTGCAGAATAACCCTGCATCTTCATGATCTCATTTCAGCCGTGCAAAAACTGTAAACGAGAACTTAAAAATGAGTGCTGCCCTTCTCTCACGGTTTGATTTAGTATTCATATTACTTGACAAACCTGATGAGCTACTCGACAAGCAAGTCTCAGAGCATATTATGTCGGTGAGTCTTTCCATCTGAAAGTATTGATGTGGAACATACTTCAAAGAGGTATTAGCATACTTTCATCTCTCGTTGATGGACAAAAATCAGTGACAGCTACAGTGGATTAGACATATCTAAACGTTCAGGGCATTCTAGACCATAGATAAAATGCTTGATGGATAGAAGAGACTTTTTAGTTTCTGGAAAGATTTTATTGGCCTATTCATTGCTTAATTCTAAGCCACTAATTTAAAATCTTACCTTGAATTTTTTTCTCGCAGCTTCATTCTGGAAGTGGAGAAACATCATCTGCATTAAAGAAATTAAAGACAGGTCCAGCTTCTTTTGATTGTTAGTATAGAAATGACCTTATTAAAGAAGTATTCTTGACTTTTCGGTTGATATCAAATGCAGCATCACGGAATGCTGGATATGCAAATATACATGCGAAAGAAGGTTCTCTACTTTCAAGACTGCGGTTTGACTCTAAGAAAGATGACGACTTTGCTCCAGTTCCTGGCCAATTGCTTAGGAAATATATTGCTTATGCAAGGACTTTTGTCAACCCTAAGTAATTTGATCTGTCTCCCAGCTGCAATTACTAGATGCTTGCAAACCAAAATTAGGCATTATGGGGTAACATTTCCTTATTTATTCAGGATGTCAAAGGAAGCTGGAGAGATCATACAGAAGTTTTACTTGAAACTGAGAGACCATAACACATCCGCAGATTGCACTCCAATAACAGCAAGACAATTGGAAAGTTTGGTCAGGCTTGCGCAAGCTAGAGCTCGGGTTGACTTAAGGGAAGATATAACAGTCCAGGATGCTATGGTAAGCCAGAACAGAAAATGCCTTGTACCCTATGTCTAAGCATACATGCATTTGTTTGACCAAACACTCAATTAACATCCGTACCATACATGCATAAAAGTATTATTTCCTCTGATATTTTTTGTTGAATAGGGTAAGTAGCTAGCATGAAATTTCAATTCGAAGCTGCATTGTTGTAATGTTGGCCTGGACAAAGAATATTTTGCTGCTGGCTTAAGATGTCATGACTTTTGTCTTTTGGATTTGGTTTTACAGGATGTGGTTGAAATAATGAAAGAATCTTTGTATGATAAGTTCGTAGATGAACATGGGGTTGTGGATTTTGGTCGGAGTGGAGGAATGAGTCAACAAAAAGAGGCCAAACGTTTCTTAAGTGCTCTTGATAAGCAATCAGAGTTGCAGCAGAAAGATTGTTTCTCTATTTCTGTATGGACAACTTCTCTTCTCAACAATTTGTTAGTTGCGCTTCTGACATTGTATTGTGATCAATTTCTTACTCGAAAACAATATGACTGCAGGAGATGTATAGTTTAGCTGATAGGATCGGGCTACGAGTTCCAGACATCGATACTTTCCTAGAGAACCTGAATATTGCCGGATATTTGCTCAAGAAGGGACCAAAGACTTACCAGGTATATTCCCCACCTAACTCAGAAACTAGAATGGTCCATGAACTAAGCAAAACATGGCTAAAGGATGTGATATAATTTTTCGATAAAAAAAAAAAGGATGTGATATAATTTTCTCACACTGTCCTAATTTCATATGCAGGTCCTCTCCTCATCTTATTCTCGGAGTCAGTCATCCAGGTCAAGATGATTAGCATTCCGACACAAAACCTTAGAACAGAAACATTTTAAGTAAAGCTAGATGTGCATTGCCATTGTATTGTTCATATCTAAGTATGTGAACCTGCTCAATCGAATCAGTCAGTTGTATATTACACAATGAGTATTATTATCACATGGATTTGGGCTGAATGTTCAGGTCATTGTTCACCTACTGACTTTCAAAGTATAGACGACAACTAACATCTACGGTAGAACCTAGTATACATTGGTGTATATGAGAGAGAGTAGCCTGATCAACAGGATAATCTAGTCTTCTCTTGGACCTAACTTCCATTCACTTCCATAGTAAGAATTAGGCAAACCTAGCCAAAACTTGAAAGCTTCAGCCGCTCTCTTTCGTTCTACCCGCCTCTCTATTCTGGCTTGTGAAGCATGTTTGCTAGTGAACATCCTCGAGTGCATCTCCACATAGATCTTCTTGTACTTAGTTTTATTCGGAGGTATCCCGTTCTCCTCCATGCACGCGATTATCTCCAATGCCTTCTTGAAAAACGCAGCCCTCACACATATATCTGCTAGCATATCTAACAACCCTTCATCCGGTTTCAGCATCGGAGGAGATGGATTTGAAGAATCTCCTTCAGACTCTCCTCTCTTTTTCACCTCACACCTTTCCTTTATTTCCTTCCAGAGCAAGAGCGCCTCACCGGGTTTCCTCGCCAGGGAAACCCCATTGGCTAGACTCCCATAAGTTGCCACATTTGGGTAAAATCCGTTTTCTTTCATGCTTGAAACTACTCTCTTCGCATCTTCAATCAAACCTAGCCTGCAATACCCTTCGACCAACATGTTATACGCAATCAGATCAACTTTCACCCTTGGATCCCTCATCATCTCATCAAACACCCTATTCGCCAACTTGGGTTGCCCCGACATTGCGAAAGCCTTCATCAAAGTAGTGTAACTAATCTTAGTTGGTGCAATTCCTTTCGTTCTCATTTCATTGAAAAACGATAGAGCTCCTGCGCTATCATCTATAAGAATGCATCCATCTATTATAATGTTATAAGAAACCACATCTGGCTCTATCCCCACATCTTCAGCCATCTCTCGTAGCAAATCCTCCGCCTTATCTATCTGCAGCTGCTTACAATATCCTTTGAGCAACACATTATAAGTGATCCTATTTGCAGGTACACCCATCCGAGCCATCTCAGCTAACACTTGTCGTGCTCTATCCATCAACCCGGCTTTTACGAAAGCTGACACAACAGTTGTGTAGGTAACTTCATCTGGATGACTATTACTATCATCTTGACGCCTCATTGCCTCGAGCATTCTAGCTGTGTCAGCCACACGCCCATTCTTCATATAACCTTTCATCAGCGTCGTGTAGATTCTTGAGTCTGGTGCAAAAACTCTAGGCAACAATGGCGGCTTATCACTCGGTTCAACCGAATTAGGCAGCAATTTCTTGAACACATCCTCAGACCCCTCTTCGTTTACCTCATCTTGAGCCGAATAACCCGAACCTTCATCATCCTCAAACGAA